CAGCCTCCCAAAGGCGCGGGATTATAGGCTGAGCCACCGAGCCTGGCGACTCTTTATTCGTATCATATAATGTAGTGTTTTCCGTTTTAAACTGCCAAGATGGGAAGTGAGAACCCTTCAGACAAGAGCTGCAAGCAGAGACAGAGACAGAGACCATGGTTTTTAGGTGTGGGGGTGGCACTCAAGGGTGGGGTGAATGGACTCCCAGGAGGACTGAGTGGCGCTCAGGAGGTTAAGCCATACCAGTCCCTGGTATACCTTGACCCTCAGGGTGGGACAACTCCTTGCTGCTGTCCCCTGGGGTGGCCTGGGACCTAGAGGAGGCAGCCAGGACTGGCCATGGCTAAGGCCAGGCTGGCATGACAGAAGTGGAGGGGACTCCAGGGGCCGCAGATCAATCCCAGCCCTACCAGAATGGGCCTGGCGACCCTTGCCTGATGTCAGCTGCCACCCTCAAGACCCAGGACCTCCCGGCCCCTGAATCTGCACAGTCCCCTTTGACCTTTCACGTCTGGGTCTGATCCTCGCCGAGTGCTCTCGGGCAATTTCTGAACAGGAGGGTCCCAGTAGGCCGGGAGTGAGGGGCCCTAGTGGGATGTGCAGCTGGGCACAGGAAGCGGGGCCAGGTATATCCGCCCTCCAGGGCCAGCCTCTTTGTCCGTCCCTCTGCCCCAGCCTCTTGGGGTCCCCAGAAGTGACACAGCTGGGCGCAGACTCTCCAGCCCAGGGCAGGGTCCCAGGAGCTGTCCCCCTCGGAAGCATCATCACACAACATATGTATGCACTCTGTGACCAGAGCCTGGGTCTTGGTGCCCTCCTGGGGGTTGCAGGGGTGAGGGCAGTTCACCAGGGAGCCTCCCGGACCCTGGGACTCCCAGGTGTACTTCTCAGCCACTAGGACCGGTGGCTGAAGGGCCTTGTGGGATGATTCCTGCTCTGGAAGGGTTATGTGGAGAACAGCCTTGCCCGTGAGGTCAGGTGCGGCCCCAACGGGCGTTTCCAGCCCTTAGCACTGGGCAGTGGGAGGGGCAGGCCTGGGTCTCCTCCAAGCCCAGGCCCAGAGCTCTGGTGCCACACAGGGAGTGACTGGGCACTGACCCTCGAGCCTGCAGAATGCACCCATTTAATAGAAGCTTCCAGCACTGTCTGTACAAACCAGTCACAGACCCCCAGGAGCCGGCAGCCTCCCAGGCCTGGCCCCAGCGACCAGCTGTCCAGGTCTCCTAGCTCAGAGGACATCCGAGGTAGGCGGCAGTCTGCGGCCCCAGAGGCCTATTGTGCTTCACAGATCAGTGTTTAGAAAATGAGGCTTTGCTTCAAAGGGGCTTAAAACGGTCCGTGGAGGCACCAGCGCTGCCCAACGCCCCCAGACACGGTGGCCGGGAGGGTCCGTGTAAAAGCAGAGGACGCAGAGGCATCTTCAGGTTCTTTCTCACAGCATTGTCAGCCGCAGGGCTGGCAGGAGTCTGTCTGCGTCCTCACGTTCACAGGGGCTTCAGAGCCCCCACCCAAGCTCCCCAGGGGTCTCCAGGTGAGCCAAGCTCCAAGACCCTCCCCTGCTTTTAACATCCCCCAGAAGGGCTCGGGACAGCAGGAGGCAGAGGCCCTTTGTAGGCCCACAGGCCTCGCCCCGGCTGGGCGTGGACAGGCCCCAGGACGTGGATGGGGCGGTCCCCTGCTCCGGGTGAATGCTGGCTTCCCCAGCACAGGGCTCTCCCTCCTCAGCCAGGCCCGTCACGAGTTGCGGTCCATCAGTGGAGAGACACGGTCGGGCACATTTGTAAAAACAGGTTAAAAAATGCTCCCCGCTGGCCTCCAGCTGTGGGAGGATGTCCAGGGAGGATGATGTGGCTTCCCGGCCTGGCCAGCATGACCACGTCCATGCACTCGTCCTGCGTCCTCCCTGTGGCGCCCGCAGGGTACCATCCCACGCCCGGCAGCGTGAGCTCCATGTAGGTGGATCAGAGCTGCGTCTCGTCACGTGTCGTGGGGTTGCAGGATGACAGCTTGTGGCTGCAGCTGCTCTGGGAGCTGCTGGCCACATGAGCCAGGGGGTCGGAGCGGATGAGATACCTGTAGGTGGAGAGACCGGGTGGCCCCCATTGCCAAGTGGCCTGTGTGGCATGGCTGGGGCACAATACCCATCTCCCCAGCACCTGTGGACGCCACACAGCGAGCGATCTGCACTCACACGATGTCGTTGGGCTCCAGCCTGGTGCCGGGTGGAGGGTTGATGAGGACGTAGGAGAGGGTGTTCTGGTGGTCGTTTGTCTCGTCTGCAGGGGGCACGGCAGGCAGGCGTCACCGTGGGCTCTGGGACAGGCTGTCTCCCAGGCTTTCAGGGGTACCCTCCAATGGTAGACCCAGCCAGGTCCCGTCCTCCCTGATACACACCTGTCCCCGGCCCCCCCCACCCCCCAGCACCTGCTCAATCCAAACGACCGCCTCAGGTGGCGTTTCAGCAAAGTACTGACCCTGAGCAGAGGCACTGAGCGCACCTGCACACACCTGCCACGGATACGGACCCACATATATTGGCACGGACATAAACACCCACACTTGCACACACCTGCCATGTACATAAACCTGCCACGTGCATAAACACACACCTGCCATGTATATACCCACATCTGCACACAACTGTCACATACACAACACATAAACCTGCACACAACTGTCACGTACACAAACCTGCACATAAACTGCCACATAAACTACACCTGCCACATACATAAACCTGCACACAACTGTCACATACACAAACACCCACATTTGCACATACCTGCCACATACATAAACCACACACCACCCACTGTCACGTATATAAGCTGCACACATCTGCACACACCTGCCATGTACATAAACCTGTGCACACCTGCACATGCCTGCACACAGGTATATTTACCTGTACACACCTACGTGCACCTGCACACCTTTATACCTGTACATAGCTGGATACACTTGCACACAACCGCATACACCCCAGCTCCCCTATACACATACCCACACACCTGCACACATCTGTGCATACACCTATAGACACCTGCACATCTGCTACACTGTCACATACACCTGCACAACCTAATACATCACTGGCACATATACACCTTTGTATACCCACACACATTTGCATACACCTTCCCACCCACACGTATGCCACTCACAAATACCTGCACACTCGTACACACACAGACCCGTACAACTGAACACACCTTGCCAGGCCCTCAAAGCCTTCTCAGGCCTGTCCCTCCCGCAGCACCCAGCGGGTGCTGCCATCCCTGGGGGCCTGGACAGACAGTCCCTGATCCCTGAGATCAGCCCTGTGCTCAGAGCACCCACAGAGCTCATCTCCCAGAACCGCCCTCCCCCCCGGGCCTGGTACCGCCCTCACGGGAGACAGCTGGCGTCAACTCCCTGGGTGGGGGAGTTCTGGAAGGACAGCTGGTCATTCACAGACCATTGGGTGACAGGGTATCTGGCCAAGTGCAGGGACAGCTGGCCCTGTCCCGGCAGTGGCCCTGAGCTCACTGGCTGGGGCTGAAGGGATTGTGCCTCAGTTTGCCCATCCTGGACTCATGGTCCAGGACTCATGTTCCAGGACGCCCTGATCCCATTCCCAAGGGCAGACAGGGAATGATTATGACCCGGGACAGGGCATGGGGTCCCAACCCTGAGCAGCCACTGCCCCCTCCCCCTGCACCATCCCCCCTATAGGTGGGCAGCAGGTGGGCATTCTTGAGGGGCTTCCAGGCCGGCCCCACTGGTTTGGATCCCCATGGCACTGCTGGGAGGTGGGGCACAGGCTTGGGCTGGGGACAACGTGGGCAGCTCTGGCCAGGAGACCAGCTCTGGCCGGGGCCACTGCACACCACAGGCAGGTCACGAGGTGCCGGCTTCCACATCCTCGCCCGTGGATGGCCCACCTGCCCCCACCACGCGCTGGAGTCATTCCATGGGAAGATGGCTCATTTCCCTCTTTTCCCCAGACCTACGGCTGGGTGTTTTCAGACCCTTTGAGGGAAGCTGCCAGCCACAGACAGGGTTGGGGACCATGCTGGGGGCTGCACAGGAAGGCCCCTCATGCACCTCTGGGGGCCAGCACGCGGATAGGCCGAGGCAGTGCAGCAGCGGCGGAGGCAGGGGCTCTTGGACTCTGCACCCCGGACCATGGCCACCCGACTGGCTGAGGTAATGCCCCTGGCAGGACACGGGCAAGGTGCCACTGTCTCGTTGCCCCAGCAGGTGCAGGCCAGCCCTGCTGTGCCCGAGTCATTGGGTCCGTCCTTCGTGGCCGGCCCCTAGACCCTGCTTCTCCCCAGCCTGGCCAGGGTTGGCTTGGGCATCTTGGGGCTGGCACTGACCCAGATGGCCCAGGATGGGCAGAGAAGGCTGAGTTGCCCGGGGCTAGCACTGTGTGCTTTGTGAAAGCAGGTGCAGGTGTGCTGTGAGCCTGGGGGTGGGGCTGGCTGTGGCTCTCCCCATGAGCAGCCCAGGGCAGTGCCACCTCACCCGGACACCTCCTGCTCCCCCTGGCACTCTAGGCCTCCTCGATGGCTCTGCCTCCACCCACCAGTCCCTACCCCATGCATGGCAGGATAGGCATCCCTGCACACAAGAAGGGCCTCACGACCCCTGGAGGCCAACCTCTTCCCTGAAGAACATACCCCTCCTTGGGTGTATGTCCTGCCCTGGGCACCCCTGACATCTGCACACGGGAGGTGCAGACCCTGCCAAGGCCCTGGCACCAGTGCCCACCTGGCACACAGGCCGTGCTACACTGAGTCCTGTGACCCTGTGGGAAGTCCCGAGCTGCCCAAGCTGTGTGCCACCCTTGCCTGGAACTGCAAGAAGCAGGTGCAGAGAGGGGCCAATGTGGGCGTCCAGCTTGTGGAAGCCACCAGCCCGGGTCCTAGCCTGGTGGTGCCCAGCCAGGGCAGGTCTCCCAGGATGCCTTGTGGGTCAAGGGACAAGGAAAAGCACGAGAGCTGGAGATGCTGGCGCCCACCTCCATGGCCATCCCAGGCTGGGACTGCCCCCAGTGGGATAGGTCCCACCAGAGTTAGTTCTTATCGGGGCCCCGGAGCTCCTGGCCACCCCTGCAGGGAGAAAGGATCCCGGGCAGAAGCCCCTGGGAAAGGAGCCCGTGGCCCAGCCCCTGCCCTAAGCGTCAATGGGGCCTTGGGTGGAGGTGGGTGGGACGTCTTGGAGAAACGGGTACTGGGCAGCTCCTGAGCCCACAGGAGACATAGGATGGGGTGGGCTCTGGCTCAGCCCAACAGGCATGCCCCTCCTGATGCCCCTGAGGGGGTGCCATCCACAAAGCCACAGAGTTCCTCGTGGCTCAGAGGAACAATCCCAAACACCACACACATGTCTGGCTGGGAGCTCCCCCAGGAGGGGACTTGTGGACTTGGCTTGGGACCATACACCTAGAGGCTTCCCAAGAGCTGGGGCTCGGGGTCCTGGGCTCTCATGGGGCTGGCCACGGGGGCTGCTGTCCAGTTAGGGCCAACATAGGGGCAGGGGTCATCTCCCACAGCAAAACAGAGAGAAAAGTACTTGGGGTGAGTCTGGAGCAGGACCTCAGCCTGGCCAGGCCTGCGGTCCCTTGATGGCACAAGCCCTGTGCCTCAGTGCCCGGGCCATCACCGCTAGCCAGAGGACAACGAACAGGGACAGTGTGTGAGGCTGGAGGCCCGACAGGAGGGTTTGGGAGGACACCTGGGCCCGCCGCCGTCTCTCCTGCTCCCCTGCTTGGCCAGGACAGGGCGGGCACCAGGCTGCCCGCGGCCAAGCATCGGCATGCCCTTGAGTGGCAGCCGGTGTCCGCGGGGCAGAATTACCTTGCAAATATCCCAGGTTTACCCGATTCATGACATCACTGGCTGTTAAATTTGCTACGTCCTCTACAGAGCACAGGAAGGGGCACAGACAGAAACAGAGAGAGAGAGACAGGTCAGCAAGCAGCGGCGCAGCGGCTGGCACAGCATGGCGAGGCAGCAGAATAGGGGCCATCCATCCACTCTGGGACCAGCGGGCACCTTGGAAGCCAGCTGGCTGCCCAGCAAGGGAGCCACACCTTTGCCAAGCTTGGGCGGGCAGGTGAGCAGGGGTGGTGGAGGCCGAGGGGGAGGGGAGCGTTGGGGAGGTACCCGTCCTGGGGCTAGCCAGGTCAGAATCTCTATCCGCCAGCACTCGCCACTGGCTATGACCCCTCTCCTGAGATAAGGACAGCACCTCCCTGGGCAGGGAAACCAGGCGGGAACCGAGGCAAGTTCGAGGATAGGGCAGCGGCATGCCCTCCAGTGTCCACAAGGCTGGGAGAGGCCCTCCTGGTCACCTGACCCTGGCCTCTGAGTCTCTGGCGGGGCCTGGAGTCACCATGGGGTCAGGCCAGTTCAGCATGCCCAGTCTGCACCCTGGGCAGCTCCTGGGAAAGGCTGAGCTCCTGACTCCACTCAGGGGCTTGGGCTCAGACTCGATCCCATGCACCAGGACGCAGTATGGGGAGACCCGCTGTCTGTGCAGGACAAAGTGGGCCTGAGTGTTGGCGAGACCCAGAGATGGGACCTGATAGAGGCTGGGGCTTGACCCTGCCCAGGGTGGCTGTGGGCAGAGACCCGGGCCAGCGTAGGAGCCCAAGTCCTATGGGCCTTATCAGCAGAGGGAGCACCTCCAGCTCAGGGGAGGAGATGGGTGTCTCTCCCCTGTGCCAGCCGTGGCACTTGGGGTCAGCCTCACAAGCACATCACCCACGGGTGCCAAGGGAAGGGGCTGTGCACATCCGTGGAAGATGGACACGAGGTGACCTGGAAGCAGCAGAAATGAGGTGTTGTGCCACAGGGGTGACAGCGGGCGCCATAGACAGATGAGCATCGTCCTGGGGTGGGCCATTTTACCAGCTGTAACCCCAGCGATGAGGCCTCTGTGCAGGCCAGGAGGGAGGGCTGGGGTGTGGGGGTGACCCGCTGCTGTCTGCTTCCTGTGAGGATGCAGGGCCCTGCAGGACTGGGCGAGGCCAGTTGGTCTGTTGCTGACTGTGGCCCTTGGCTTTCAGGGAGCCCACCCACTGCCTCTCTCAGGCTGCAGGGCTCAGTCAACTCCAGCCTCTTACTTTACGGATGGGGAAACGGAAGCCCCAGAGTGGTGAGAACGAGCCCTGCTTCATGGGGCTTGGTGCCAGTCCTCAGGAGAATTCCGCACCCTCCCCACGCCAAGTGGGCCGCAGCCATGCTCCGCCTACACCCTCCTCCGTGGAGGGGCTTTGATGGGGCCACGGCAGCAGTGCCCGGAGCTGGCCCTGCAGCAGGGGGTGGGCAGTGAGGCTCGCAAGAGAGACGGACAGATTGGAGGACGCCATGGTCGGCTGCTCTGGTGGTGGCCTGACCCGCCCCCGTCCCCGCCACTGGCACCCTTACTGTAGCCCATGGTGAGCAGCCCCTGCCATGCCTCCCCGGCCTGGCGCCCTTACCACGTCAGTGGCGGCCTGACTCCACCCTTGCCCGTCCCCCCAGCCCGGCGCCCTTACCGTAGCCCGTGGTGGGCAGCCCCAGGTGCTTCATGCGGTTCTTGACCAGCTCTGAGAGCTCCTGGCGCTCCGAGCGCCGGTACAGGCTGAGCCGCTGCTGGCTGATCCACTCGGCGGCCACCGCCTTGCCTGCGTGCCGGGCGCCCTTGCGGCTCAGCCTCCGCGCCCACTGCAGGCTCTTACGCCGCAGCAGCGGGTGCTCCGCAGGGTCCCCGCCGCTTGTGTGGCAGCTGTGGGTGCTGCCAGTGCCCGCCCGCGCACCCCAGGGTGCCTTGGTGTCCCGCGTGTCCTCACAGTCCTCCACGTTCACGGAGATCTGGGACTGGGTGCAGGGAGGGGTGAGGCCGCGGGG